AGTGACGACATTAGGTGTCATCACAGATGAGTACAGCACAAGCATAATCAGTGACAACATTGGAAGTTGTCATTCTCAACTCGTCACGAAATAGTTGGCGCGCATCTCATTTGATGCCGTGGGAAATGAATTTATGACAACTCAAGTAAAGTCGTCACAAACGCTCTCTCTACAGTGACAACATAACTTGTTGTCATTGAAAGTCTACCCGATTCCAATTTTGTGACAACTTTTTGCATCACTATATACTACAGTATTTTCATCAACTTTCACTAATTCTACTATGACACCCTAATTTTATTTTTTAGCCCCCAATTCTTTTATATTAGCAAAAGCACCGAAGATATGACACCCTAATTTTATAATTTAGCCCCTATTCATTACGTATTAGCAAAATGCAAATGATATAATAACAAACTATTTTTAGATATTTGTAATTTTTGCTAAGTTGACATAATAGACATGTCTGAGCATAAAAAAAATTGTTTATTATTCCTTATAACAACCCCCAAAAATCAATAACTGAAATAATTTGAAAAAGTGTAATTGAATATAATTTGTAGTCTAATGTTAGCACTGTGAAAGATTAGTATAACGTGTAATACATCATAAGTAATAATTATTTTCATATGGAATGGGTATATACGAAATTAAAATTATTCAGTAAAATATCTGTCGTGCAATAAGATTGAGAGTTGTAACACATTTAACAGAATATTTGATTACATGTTTCTTTTAATTTATTATAAAAACTAAGTAATAGACAAAGAGTAGGATAAGCATGAGTAAGAAGTGCTATACTGTATATAAGCAATTCTATAGTATTTTCATCAAATTTCACTAATTCTACTATGGCACCCTAATTTTATTATTTAGCCCCCAATTCTTTTATATGAGCAAAAGCACCGAAGATATGACACCCTAATTTTATAATTTAGCCCCTATTCATTACGTATTAGCAAAATGCAAATGATATAATAACAAACTATTTTTAGATATTTGTAATTTTTGCTAAGTTGACATAATAGACATGTCTGAGCATAAAAATGTTTTCACGAATTGTTTATTATTCCTTATAACAACCTCCAAAAATCAATAACTGAAATAATTTGAAAAAGTGTAATTGAATATAATTTGTAGTCTAATGTTAGCACTGTGAAAGATTAGTATAATATGTAATACATCATAAGTAATAATTATTTTCATATGGAATGGGTATATACGAAATTAAAATTATTCAGTAAAATATCTGTCGTGCAATAAGATTGAGAGTTTTAACACATTTAACAGAATATTTGATTACATGTTTCTTTTAATTTATTATAAAAACTAAGTAATAGACAAAGAGTAGGATAAGCATGAGTAAGAAGTGCTATACTGTATATAAGCAATTCTATAGTATTTTCATCAAATTTCACTAATTCTACTATGACACCCTAATTTTATTATTTAGCCCCCAATTCTTTTATATGAGCAAAAGCACCGAAGATATGACACCCTAATTTTATAATTTAGCCCCTATTCATTATGTATTAGCAAAATGCAAATGATATAATAACAAACTATTTTTAGATATTTGTAATTTTTGCTAAGTTGACATAATAGACATGTCTGAGCATAAAAATGTTTTCACGAATTGTTTATTATTCCTTATAACAACCCCCAAAAATCAATAACTGAAATAATTTGAAAAAGTGTAATTGAATATAATTTGTAGTCTAATGTTAGCACTGTGAAAGATTAGTATAACGTGTAATACATCATAAGTAATAATTATTTTCATATGGAATGGGTATATACGAAATTAAAATTATTCAGTAAAATATCTGTCGTGCAATAAGATTGAGAGTTGTAACACATTTAACAGAATATTTGATTACATGTTTCTTTTAATTTATTATAAAAACTAAGTAATAGACAAAGAGTAGGATAAGCATGAGTAAGAAGTGTATACTGTATATAAGCGATTCTATGCATGTTAAATTTTTGAAACATGTTTTATTGTGTAAGTTTTATTGTAAGGTAATTTCTTAAATAATTTGTATATTGAGTTGTCCAAACCCAAAAAGATGTATATAGACACAAACAAGCACACATATATATACATGCACAAAAAAGAAACCAATATCAAATAATTTATTTGATATTTATAGATGAGATTAAGGAAAAAAAAAGAGATTAAGTATGAAAAAAGAAACCTGAAAAAAAAAATTGGCTAAAAAAAAAAAGAAAAAAGATGTATGAAGCTAAAGGCGTGAATCCTGGAATCTCAAAGACGTGCTTAGATGCCAAAAAAAAAGAGCGCCAGTCTGAAATCTGAAAGAGGCGCGAGGTGGGTGGCTGAAATCTCTACAAAACGACGTCGTTTTGGTTGTTCACACACAAACAAAAGTCTCGCCGCTTCTCTCTTCCAACACTTAGACAAATTTCATTCTCAGTCTTTCCTTCCTATGGTGAACTAACCCTCCTTCCCGTGAGCAAGAAAAGCTGAGGGGGAAGCCTGAGAAAGGGCGGCTAGGTTTTAGAGGAGAAAAAGAGAAATAGAAGAGCAGAGAAGCAGCTAGGGTTCTTGGAAGGGAGGCCTTGAGCGTGAAAAGAAAAAAAACAGAGTGAAGGAAGAGTGGCGGCTGATAGGAAGATCAGGAGAGAAAGACGCGGCAACGGACAGAGGAGGAAGAACCAGGTCACCACCAGTCCGCGTCCGCTCTGCTGCTGTCTGCCATCGCCAACACCGCGCACAACCTCCCGGGCTGCTGCCGTTCTCTGTATCACTAGATGAAGGCTCTCGGAGGAAGTCAGACCTAGTCATCTTCCAATTCCAACTCACCGTCTTCACCTTCGTCATAATCGCCGTCGCCACCGCTCAAGTAAGAGCACTATAAGTCGCCCCTTTTTCTTTGAATTTCAGTTCCTTCCCAAGTCCTCTAAGCATGTCTGCCATGGCTTCGTTTATTGCAATTGCCCCGTTGATTGTTCAAATTTTAGCATGCGCATGTTTATATCATGATTGAATTTGAAATCCCTTGTACTTCTGATGATTTTGGGGCCAACCGTGGCTTCATTTGAGCAAAGAATTGCTGGAATTTTTCATGTTCGTTTACTGTTTGTTGAAATGCCCAAGTGGTCTAACAGCAGGCCGTAACAGGGCATTCGTTCAATGCTCATTGCTGCATTTCCCTATCCATATTATTGACTCAAAAAGACTCCAGCAACCAAAAAAGCTATTTTGTTCCAGAAAATGATAGGTCAAGTTTACTCAACTCACGATTTTATCATATGAAAAAACACTTTGAATAAAGCAAAGATTCAAAGTAGGCAACTGGACTTTATTTAGTTACAAAACAGTAGAAAAAGGACATGGTTTTGACGAATTTCTTTTTTTTTTTTAATGCCGGAAATATTCCAGCAGGTTGATACTGAACACCTGGAAAATCATGAGGCTGCTACCTTTTATATCCGTGACAATGCGTAAGGGAATAGGATCCTTCCATCTTCTTCTTTTTTTACAGTAAAGCAAAGCGTATACTACATGGTAATAGGAACCTGAGCTTATCCCGTCATCTTGATTCTTTTCTTTTCTTTTTTTTTCCCCGAAGGGTATGACATGCTCTGCCCTACAAAATGGGAGCTATAGTTTTTTTCTTTCATTTCCTTTCTTTTGAGAAGACATGGTTTCATTAGTTTAGTATTATATTTCTGATCATATATCACTATCGGAATTGGTAGTAGTTGTATTCATGGAAGTTAAACATTTATGTTCCTAACAGGTGCATGGGTCCTTATTGTAAAATATATATTAATTAGCTAAATACAGGTTCTCTCTTCTTGGTTTCTTAAAATCAGCTAATTATAGTTTCTTTTAAGCTAAAAGCATCTGAGTAACAAAATCGATTTTATGCAGAAAGGCTATTTATGAGGAGCAGTCTTCTAGTTAGTTTTGAAAACAGCTTTTTAGGTTGGAGAAATTTTAAAAGTGAAACGTAATTCCAAATTTTTGGAGTTCACCTTTTGGATGATCACCTTTTCTAATCAGCTTCAGAAAAGCTGAATCGAACAAGGGCAGCTTATTTTTATTGCATGGTCTAATTAGTTTTGATAACCTGTGCATGCTAACAATTTCAACAACATGATTCTGTAGGGTACTGGCAAATAAAACTTGATTGCTTGTGTTGGCCATCTTCTATGATTTGGCTATATACTTGGCTTTCCTGAATCAGGAATATTGGTCGATGCAATATGTTGTTGTTTCTTGAGTTGCATGGAGCACATTTTGGTGCCATCCATTTGGTCCTATTTACTGATTTTATTGTGATATAAGAAAAGAATATAGTTGTTATCTTTGGAAGATAACTTAACAAATTGATATGGAAATCCGGATGTTTCCATATAATCAAAAGTTGCAATGTTGGAAAGAGTTATAGGACGACAATTGCAGGCTGGAGGAAAAGATGGACTAAAACCACAGTGGAATGTTAGTAATTTAATTAATATGTGGTCTTGCTGCTTATGGAAGAGCATGACCAAAAAAGGGTAGAATAGAAGTAAAGGGCTGATGTACAAGGGTGAGATTGAATAGGATAAAGTCTTGGTTGTGTTCTTGGCTTCCTGATTATCACCATGTTTAACATCATGGAAACTTTGTCAAATGCAATAAAGAGAAGAAGGCATGTTTTCAATTTATATTTGTATTTACTATGTGTTTCCACATTCCTTTATATCTTTGATGCTCTGATGTCGGGCTGTTATGATGACCTGTGTTTGATGCTTATATTCTTTGATAATAGTCCCCAGGTCATTTTCTTCCTAATTGCATTATCCTTTGTATTATTGCCATCTGAAAGCAAATGCATCTTTGTTACCCCAATTTTGGTGATAATACTTCTCCCTTCCCTTGAGACGCAACATGTCCACTAGCCATATGACCTTTCATTTTCCCCCTTTTTTTAGATAATAAATAATCTGAATATCACCTCATTACATAATTAAATGTATTTGTTGTGTCGCAGGGATTGTATCCTGGGTACATGATTTTCTTTGTTCAGTCTGCTTTGTTTATTGCTGGTTCAAGAGGTATGAATATGGTCTTTACTTTGGCATATTGTGCTTAGGAATGTATTTCATCATTTGCCTGGATATCTAATTTCTTTTGTGGTATAAATAAATTGTTTGCTCTTCATAGTTATTACAATTGAGGCACTTGAATTCTGGTTCTACAAAATAGAGATTCATTTTTAATACAATTGGGTTGCTTGATGTCAATTTAGTTGCTTGATGGCACTTGAAATCTGGTTCCACCAAATCTGATTCCTGTTTAATGCAATTGAGTTGCTTGGGGCTGATTTAGGTGCTTGAAATCTTGTTCATGTTTAATTACAGCCATTGAGGTGCTGGATGTTGCAACCAAAACTTTAGTGTTTTTAAAGCAAATGTGTTTGAACGTTGGGATGTATTCCACTTTTTTCTTTGTCGAACTCATCTAAATTTTTCTGTATCAGAATTTCTTTTTTGTGCTAAGGAAAAAGAGGCACCTGTGATTGTGTGTGTGTGTGTGTGTATTTTTTTTCTTGATATACTGTGTGGTTCACGGTCATCTAGGCTCTCAATGATTTTAGGATTTTATTGCTGTTATTGTTATTGTTATTGCATATATATTTGTGAACATGCAGATATTTATTGTGTTTGTATTGTTATTCTATATTTCACAGAATATACATTCAATGTCTTATTTGCTATAATTTCACTTTATTTTTGTGTTAAGCAATTTACTTAGATTGCTATAATTTCAAATTAGAGTGACATTAGTTTTTATAATATGGTGCCTATCTAGAAGTGTAGTTCCAGTTTTAACACCAGTGCTCATTGCTTCAATTTTGGTAACGTGTAGGTTCTAACACGATTTCCAAGAAGAAGAAGCCAGTCATTGCTGTGAAGATGGTTTTTGAATTGAAGACTACAAGGCCTATCGTGCTCATGTTTTGTTCTAGATGAGAATCGTGCTCATATTTTTGTATAGAACTTTACTACTCTCTATTGTGGATGGGAAATCACTAGTATTGTAACTGAATGGCTTATTTTGGATGGTGCATGGTTTATGACTCATTTGAGGCAACATTTATATATATATGTATTTGGGTTGATCTTCTATTGGAAATGAATGTTGGCTTTCTTTTCGTATGTTGGCTTTTTTTTTCTCCTTGCTACTCAATGAACGTTTTGTGATTGTTGGCAGATATGTTGCGTAATTAACATTAGATTATTGCTTTTTACAAAAAAATAAATGACAATAAAAAAGTTGTCACTGCCAACAAGTTTCACTAGTGACACCAGAAAGTCGTCACTTTTTATGGATGGAAAACAATGACAACAAAAGTCGTCACTGAACGGAAGCATAATGTGACAACTCCAAGGGTTGACTATGACAAGAATTTAGCCAGCTTAGTGACAATAAAAGTCGTCACACAATGTACAACAATGAGTGACGACAAGAGTCATCACAAAAGCGAAATCGTTTGTGACGACTTTCAACAGTCGTCACATGGACCCCCTTTTGTGACATAGATCTAGTGACAGCTCTATGACAGCAGTAAAAGTCGTCACTGACTTTTTTTGTGATGACTTCTGAATTTTTAGTGACGACTTTTGCCTGTCACAGAAACGCAATTTTCTTGTCGTGAGTGTGGATGTTATTTTTGTGTTTTATGTGTGTATGTGTATCATTACCTATTTTTCTTACTAATTTTGCTGTTGAAGTTGTTTAAAAGCAATTTTAGGTGATGAGAAGGGTAGGTCAATTTGGAGGACAATGCTTGAGAAGTGGAAGATTGGTAATGGATGATTACCAAGTGCAAAGCTCCTTCAATAGAGGTAACCAAGAAATTACTGAATGCATGTCTTTTGAAGATAGTTTAAGGTGCTTAAAGGCAAAATTTGATGTAATTAAAGTTCAAATGGACACCATGATGCATGAAATTGAGCAGAGGAGGAATGTTAATGCTTTTAATTCTTATCATGTGATTTGTGACTTGTGTGGAGGTTATCATGTTACTAGTACATGCATGCAAGCACAAAATGTGGATTATTATAATGAAGTAGAGCATTACAGTCCTTGTTTTGATCAATATAGTGCTAATTGGAGCAATTCTCATGCTTATGGTTAGGATAATCAATGTACTTATAGTGATTATCCATATTTTTATGATTACCAACCTGAAAGTATCCAATATGAATCAAAACCATCTTGGGAGTTGGCAATAGAGAAGTTAGCTAATGCACCTCTACCTCGGGAGTTAGAAAGTGAACCATTAGCTAATGATTCTAATGCATCTTGGGAGCTAGCTGTAGAAAATTTTTCTAATCAATTTGATTTAGCAATAGAAAAGCTAGCAAATGCAACTTCCGACCGTTTTGATAGGATTGAGGAAAGAATAGATGAATTAGCTTCTCACTTTGGTAGAATACATGAGTAATTGAATGCATTGTGTGAAATTATTTCCTCTAATAATTTGCAAAATGATCCTAGCATGAATGGTGGAAATGTTGTATGTGAAAATGGATTGCATTTTGATGAAAATGATGAATCTCAAGTGTGTTTTGATGAGCAAATAACCATTTCACATGATAATATCTTTGGAACTAACTTTGAGCCTTAAGAGGTGAGTTTTAATGACTCATTTTTCACCCCTTTTGAGGAGTGCATTGAAAGTATAGGTTCTAAAGGTATTAATGCCCAAGATAGCCTCATTGCAGCTCCTTTGGTAAGTTTTCAAGTGGTGAATATTAAAGATAATATCTATGAATCACTTGAGATAGGTAAGCCACTTTCATTTCTCACATCATTAGATCATGTGGTCTTGGCTATAAAGTCACCATTTAATGATCCACCACGACCTATAATGGTGGATTATTTGTTAACCAAACCTCCTTGATAATGAGGTTATATAGTCAAGCTAATGACTATAAAGAAGCGCTAGTTGGGAGACAACCCAACGATTTCTTATTTTTAGTAAGTTTAAGTTGTTTAATTATTGTTTTTGTGTGTTTTATAAGTGGCAATGGCAATGGTTTATCCAAATTGTTCAAGTGCAAAAGAGATTAGAAGGAAGTAAAAGGGAGTTTTCTTGTTCATTTGATCTAATTCATGCATTTAAAGTGTTTTAAGCTAATGCTATATCGATGCATGATTTCATGATTCTAATTGCATTCAGTTGAGAAAAGCACATATTTCGTGTTTAAGGTGAGTTTTTCTTGAAAAAAATGAAGAAAGTTGAAAATTGGGTGAGTTGCAAGCTTGATTAAATGGAAAACGGAAGGAAAAAGTGCAGAAATAAAAATTTTCTGCAACAAATCCGACTTCAAATCCGGCCATAAAATGGCCGGATATTTGGCCGGATTAACAGGGGAAGAAAATGAAAATTTTTGGAGCTACTGGCTCGAATCCGACAGGAAATCCAGCCTAATTTTGGCTGGATATGCAGAATTGAAAAAAAAAAAAATTCAATCCGGCCAGAAATCCGGCCGAGTTTCGGCCCTACAACTCGGCCGGATTGATCTGCGATATTGAAAAAATTTTGTTTGGCTACTGGCCAGTACTCGGCCGAGAATCCGGCTGGATATCCTGCCAAAAACCGGTGGATTCTGGCCGGTTTTGCGCATCAAAGGGGAATCCGTGCACGCACGGATTCCCCAAATTCCTTCTTCCTTTCTTCTTCAATTCACACACACACTCACACCTAAAACACACACTATTCCTAAAATTCATCTTTTCACCATCCAATCTCCAAACTGAATACATCAAAACATTCCCCTTTCCCTTGTGAGTTGATTTCATAACTTAAAATCCTTCAAAAACAAGTTTTAATTCGGATTTGAGTTTGAGAAGAACAAGGGTTTCAAAATTTTGAATTCTTCATTTGGGGCCAAATTGGAGTGAAATTTTGGGGGTTTCTTCACCATTTGCATCCATAATCATCAACAAACAAGTTTGAGGTAACAAATCTTTACCAAATGTTGTCATTTGAATTTTGCCAATTTTCATTTTTTTTTCTATTTTTGAGCAACTTCGAATTTTTTTCATTTTGTGAAGTTTGATGCTTTTTATTATGCTTATTGAGCTTATTGATGATTATTGGTGATGTTTAACTCATGGGTTTGTGATTATTTGGTGACTTTAGCAATTTTTAGCTAATTTTGAGGATTAATTTGATTTGATAATTATTAGCTAAATTCTTGAGCCAATTAGATTAAAGAAAAATGTAGGAGATCAATGGATTGTTCTAGGATATTTACATGCTAAATTTAGGCTTAATTGGCTTATCCTTTGATTTTTAGCACGTTTATTCTAGAAATTTTGGTGAAAAGAAGAATTAATGACCTTTTTAAGTTTAAAATTCATGGTTAAGGTGTTGTTAATACTTAATTATGCTTATTTAGGTCATTAAGTTGGGAGTGAGTTGTGTGTTTGTTTAATTGCTTCCTCTAATTATTTGGACATTATATGCTTAAATGTTTTATTTGGGGAAATGATAAGAGCACTTGTTGTTGATAATCAATTTTGATTTTTACTTATGGTGTTAATTGTTAATTATTATATAAGTAAGTTGATAAGATTGTCTAATTAAAGATAAAGGGGTAAAAGTGAATGAGTTTTCCTTATCTTTACTTAGCAATGTACCTATTAAATGAAGTTAATGTTTAATTATTGAATTTAGGTACAATGGCTCGCACTAAGAAAGCCGGAGTGAAATCTCCTCCTCCTAATAGAAGAGGAGAATCTTCGACGTCTAGACCACCGCGCATGAAAAGAAAAGCAAGTAGACGTTTAGTTCTTGAGGACGAGCCATCATCTGGAGAAGAGACTCAACAACAAGAGGAACAAGAGGCACAAGGGGAACAAGAGGAGGAAGTCTCTTATGATAAGTCGCGCTTCACCTCCGTCGAAAATGAAACTTGGTACAATGCTAGGAAGGGAGCTAAGGTATTGGTGGAGAAAGATATCACTCAGGATGCTGAGGAGGTCTACCATCTCAAGGCCTCCTTTGCCAAATTGGGATGGGAAAACTTCTTTAACATCCCAAACTTCTATTATGAAGAGTTTGTTCGAGAATTTTATGCAAATGTGGAGGACAAGAAGGTTTTTCACTACGATACAGAGGTGATTACCAGTACAGTGCGAGGGAGACAAGTTCGAGTCCATAGAGCTGATTTGGAGAGCTATCTTCATGTTTCGGATGTTAGGTATAAGGTAGATTTGAAGAAAGCTTTCAAACCCAACGATTTGGACTCTTGGAACATGCTAGAGGCACTTGTACGCTTGGGGATTGAGTACAAGGCTACTCGGAAGACTGGGAGATATTCAGTATTGACCTCATCCTTTCCGGAGTCACAATGTCTTCTTATTTACCTGTTCGTCCAATACTATTTCGAGGGCAAGTGGAACCAATGAGGCACGCACAAGTGACATCTACTTCTTGGATAAAATGGAGCATGGTCTAGGCAACATCCGAGATATTCCATTGGGAAGCATTATCACCAATCACATGTGGACAGTGGTTCGCACTTCGCAGTAATGACATTAAACATGCTTTCTCATATCCTCGCTTCTTGACCTTGGAGTTTCAAAGGGCTGGAGTGGATTTTTCTAACGCTATCCCTACAGGTCTCAAGAAAATGACGTCTTTACACTTGAATTTTGCAGGTTTATTTTGAAGAGTAAAGACGTAGGTGGTCCTTCAACTCAAGAAGGTGCTCATGGAGATATTAGGCACGAGGAGGAAGCGGAAATTGCATGAATTGAAGGGGTTGACACAACCACCCCCCGGGTTCAACTGAGCCATCTTCCTCACATCGTCCATCCTCGCCTCAGGACACTCGATCATTTCTGAAGAAGATAATGGATAAACTGCTTTGCGTTGAGACTGAGGTGAAGAAGAGTCGACAAGAGAACAAGCGGAACTCCGAGCGTCTTCGTCGCATCGAGACCAAACTGGCCATTGAAGCTCCTCCGACTCCACCCTCTTCACCTGACCAAGCGGCTACTTGAGGGAGTGCTCGTCACCATGTGACATTGCCGCTAGTTTTTTTTTTTTATTTTCTGTAGTACTTGTGATGTTTTCCTTTTTAGTAATTTTCTTTATTTCTTTTTTGTGGACTAAT